CGTGGAAGCGACCTCAATGAATGGGCCCCAAAAGTCCTCGTCCTCCCCCAGCATCTCCCTCTCCGCCCGGTCCGCCGCCCGTCGTGCAGTGTGTGTGCCCTCGTCTCCTCGGAGTCGGGATCCTTGTGCATCTCGTCGATATCCCGGGGAATGCGGAGCGCAGGGTCATTTGGCGCCTCGGGTATCGGTTCCTCGTCTGAGTCGTCCTCCCTGGGGTAGGGACGAAAAATGCAAGCACGTTTATCAAAAACGGCATCAGTCGAGGGTGGTGCGGACGCCTTGATGGGATCCCGGGTAATAAGTGCAACCTGACGGGCAATCTCCTCCTCCGTCATCCCCTTGCGAGTCCCCGTGCGCACAGACTCCAACTCGAGTCCTGCCTGGCAATCCAGCATGCCCTCGTCCCGCTGCCATGGCAGCATGTAACCGCATCTAGCCCGCCGATACTCAGTCGACCGCACATTTACGGTGATCTTAACGAGTTGCGCGACCTTCTCGAAGGCCAACTGTTTGCGCTTCTTCGTGTGAATGCCCTCGTGGGCTGCCCAGTTCCTCTCCGCTGGAGAGGCGCAAGACCACATTTGCATCACCAGAAGAGCACAACGCTGCAACTCTGGCGCGCGAGACCCGAACAGAGACCACCAAGACACGCTTTGAATCGTCTCGCTGCCGTCGTTGTACGCGCGCCCACGAGCACGCCCCTCCGGCCCGCCCCAATCCCCGAACCTTCCCTGCTGAATGTGGAAGTCTTTAAACTGCCGACATGCAAGGATGTACTCTGCACCCTCCAACTGGAATCCCGTCTGCGTCAGAATGTACTTCTTGGCTTGCCCCACAAGCCAAGCATCGTACCGCTCTACCTGCCCCGAAAAGTAGCGAACGTGTCGCCTGCGGGGGTTCAGTAAGAACCCTGCGCAGTGAGACGGCTCAAGCATGTGCTGTGTGCGAGCCTGCACACGCATGAGGATCAGGTCGGCGAATGACTTCCGCAAAGGGGCGCATGCGTCCGTGACACGGCGGACAAGATCTTGCGTCCACTCGATCATGAGGGACATGTACTGTCCTCCACGATCCATCCGCCTGAGCAACTCCATGACGGGCTGCATGATATGGACGATGGTGGCCACCCTCTGCCACCATGGATCCCATCTGATCTGTCGGCGCACCCAACGCGCGATGACGCACACATCGGCGGACCACGAGATGGAAGCAAAAGCCCGCACGTTGTCCCCTCGCATCATGTCCTGCAGAGTGTCCTGCAGGGCCAACGACCTCTCTAGCATGGAGTAAACAGATGTGAACCGCGTCTCGCAAGAAAGAATAAGGCCCTTGTCGGGGCTGCGCGTCCTAAAAAAATGAAGGGCGGCCTGGTGGGTTTTGAAAAACACCACCAGCACACGAGTGCGTGTGATCGGATCCACAAACGCGTCGCAACTCGTCCCCATGTCTGACAACAATTTGTTGCAGACATGAACGGAGCACGGGAGCCAAGTGATCCTCCTCAGTGCAGGAGGTATGGTTGGCGAGGCCAATGCCCTCGCAGCCCCCATATAGGCAGAAGCAGAGTCAGTGCATATCGCATTGATCTGCTGCGGCCCTCCAAAGTTGAACTCATGGAAGATGGTAACCCATCTCCGAAGGACGTGCACTGCATCGTCCGCCTCGCCCTCTCGATTGATCGTCATGTACACGACGACCCCTCGAGAGCCAGCAGCAAGGAAATTCACGATCGGTCTTTCATCTCGTGATTTCCTCCCATCGGAGAGGAGGGTGGCCTCACCTTCTCCAACTCCTCCGCCAACTCCGCACAGTGGGTCTCCATCGCCCGCATACTCGCAATCTCGCAGTGGTTGGGGAGCACTACGCGCGGGGAACTGCCAGGCTGCTCAAGAAGCACCTGCTGATATGCCTTCCACGCCTGGTTGCGGAAGGCATTAAAGGAGACCCCGTTGGAATACAGCCAGCGAAGGAATGCCTTATTGTGGCGAGCAACCCACTCGCCACCATACACATCAGTCACCTTCTGCTGGCAAAGCCTCTTCCCTTCTAGGGTGGCAGCTGGATCACTTCCTCCTTCCTTCCTCTTGGAAGACCCCTCCGTTGCAACTCCCTTCCCTGCTCGCCTCCGCCAGTCCTCCAACCTCTCGCCAGTGCCTGGATAAAACTCTTGCACGTCCTCCCGTTCCAGGACTCCCTCCTCACCCGGGCTACGCGCCTCGCGATCTACGTGGATAACGCCCTCCTCCGTCTCACCGCCTCCACCACCCAAAGTGGGGTCTGCCGCACCATGCCCACCATCYCCCCCGACCCCTCCCTCCGCCGGATGCGCCCCGCCTCTCCTCCCCTTGCACCTCCCGTGCCAGGCACATCGAGTCCGCGCTCCGCTGCATACCTGGCAACCCTCTCCATCTGATCGGCCTCGAACTTCTGTTGAGTCCGTCGTACAACGCCTCGTCGCTGACGTCCTTGCAGTAGTTTGTCTACGAGAAGTGCCTCGTGGCCTGAAACTGATTCCCTTGGAAAACTTTGTTGCAAAACGTGCAACGGAGCATCATGACCCCCTTGTTGTCGACCTTCTGGCCGACAACCAGGTACGAATAGACAGGGGAGCGGGCCCTGAATGTGTCCTGCACATGGTCTGCGGCAGCCTCATGCTGACGGCGGTGTGCCCTCCCCATGTCGATCACCTTGGCGAGACAACCCTCGCTGACTCCCCTCGACCGCACCGCTGCAACCCAACCCCCGTTAACCGCTGCCCGCCGCAGGGTCCCCC